ATATATTTACTAATTTGCATGTATTATACCATAAGATAAAGGTTCTCTCCAGTCCCAATCTACCTGGTCATTACTTCGGTTTTTGATCCAGGCATTGCTCTAGTGCACCAATCCATACCAGTCCCATTGGTCAGCCGATTGGTGATGCATGACTGAAATTCCTTAACATAGAGTACATACTGCAGACTCCTTTCTGCCTAACTGCCAGCGGATATATGTTACTCAAGTCTCCATTTAGATTCAAACCTAACTTGGAAGCTTTGAAGTCTCTGCTGACTTGAGATGAGCCTGGGCTTGGTTCAAACCCAGTTCACCTGTGTTCACCCAAGCCCACTCAAAACTGTAACTGACACTCGTGAACTCCCCCTTCGCCCCCGGCTCAATCAGTGGCGGCAGTTGTGGCGTGTACATTTCTTACACCACAGCTAAACATCTGTATATGTGCTCCTCTGCAACTTATTGGGTCAGGGGGATGGCAGGGCAGTCACAGTTTTAAGCCGTTTTTTTTTTCTTTTGAAAAAAAAATAGGTTTTATGTCTGTTTTATTTACTGTTTGCATGAAATCTTTACAAACAAACACTTTTCAAAAGTGTTACACTGATGACATAGGATTCCTCTTTCCTCCAGTATGGGGAAAGCTCAAGTGAAACAGTTTGCCTCTCTGTCCATGACTGAAACTCTGGACAGAGTCCAATGTAATAGCATGAGGTAGGGAGAGAGGAAGAAGAGTTCCTGTTCACATATTCACTTGTGTGTAATTTTTCAGCTTGAGCTACTGAGATCTGTAAATAACAGGCTTTTTTTTCAGGAATAACCACTAAACATTTAAACAGGTCCATCTGCTGTCTGAATATAAAAAAAACAGAATACTTATATGTCACTTCATATTTACCTGACTAAAAAAAAACAATAGTCTTTAGAGTTTTTTTTATTTTTAGCCCTGACTATACTAAAGAACAAAATGAAAAAACATTATACATTTCCTTGATGGTAATATCGTGTTTTAGAGTCTCCCCAAAAACTTGTATTTTAACTTTTTTTGGACAGTGGTGGGTTGAATTAATAATTTGAGGACTCCAGTGTTAGGCTTTCCAGCAAGGGCTTCTAGTTTTGCATTTTCTGCTTCCACAAATAGGCAACCCCCCTCCATTTATTGTCAGTATCACATACTGTATTCTTGTGGCAGCACAGTTATATAAATAATGTAATTTTAAATCCGTAATGCCTGTTTTTGAATATCACCTAAGCCAAATATAAAGATAAAGATTTTTTTTTTGTTTGCATTCCCACAAATTTGAGTTTGACTTTAAGCCAAAGAAAGAGGTCACACTATACTCAAATAATAACATGTCCTCTGTAATGCTGCTACAATCCGTCTCGCTCTCCCTGCTCAGTTATCTTCCCCCAAGAGATATAGCAGGGTTGTTGGCCTATTCCATCCAAAGCTGAAATATTTTGATATGAACTTATTCTTAAATAGGCGTGATCCTCAAAGTGGACCTGTCAGTAACTATACAGGTCTTCATAAATACATTCCTGACATCACAATATATGGCAACAGCATCATGTTTCAGAAAAGCTTCATCCTACCTCGGTAAAAAGCTGCCTTTGAGCTCCAGTTCAGGGCCTGGGCTGAGATGATGTCATCAGTCTGCTGCAGGTAGGAGGAAGTATTTTCTCAGTCTCCTCTCCCCCAGTGATCATACAATGTAAGTCACAAGGTAAGAGTTTGCAGCAGAAACTGATCTGTGTCAGACTATTGTGAGTTCATAAATCCAAGTAGTCCAGCGTACTCCTGACAGCATTCAGGCCCAATTGTAAAAGAGTGCTATAGTGAAATGGTGGATGGCGCAACATAAGACCCAATCCAAAATATCACCAGCACACCATGTTCTGAAGAGGAGGCAGGGCAATTATTGCCACCAATAGAAAGCGCCATTCCGAGGCCACTAGGCACCTCTTTCTGAAGCAATGACCAGCCAGGAAGCTGGTGCCTGAGGAAGAGGTCCCTAGTGGCCTTGAAATGTTGGTGACAAAGTGTTCTGTCTTCTCATTGGAACATGGTGTGCTGGTGATATCTTGGACTGAGACATTTGTAAGCACACACCAAAGAACTGTACAGGCATCAGGATTTACATGATGGTATAATCTCTGATCCAGCATCTCAATCTAGAAAGTGAATGCTGACCCTGGATGATGCCTGAACAAAGGCGGTGATGTCCTTTTGGAGAGAAACCCAGATGCCAGGGGGAGTACTGTGAGCTCTGTGAGTAGTTATAAATACCTGGAAGTGTTACATTGACACGTTACTTGACTGTATATCTAATGCTAGGTTCATAGGGTCCACTTTATTCCCATATAATTATGTACAAATATGTAAAATATGTAATTAGACATGCACATGCTGTAGTCATAACAGGCTCCACTTCAGCTAGGAAAATGACTGCTGAAGTTGATGGGTTGCTATCAGTAACATGCTTTTTGTGTACTGAACTTTCCTTTATAAAGGATGCTTATGTGTATTTGTATTTAACTTTCTGTATTGTTTTATTGCAGCTTGAACACAGATGTCTCTTCCATGATCGTGGAGATTCTCAATCTAGTTGGAAGTCAATAGACTTAGATGCTCGGCAACCACAATCCAAGTGCTGCAGATTCCAAATGATGTAAAATAGTCATTATTAGAAAATACTAGAAGTATAATGCAGCCTTGCTTAAATGTACAAATCATTGTGTTTCTGCACAATATACTCATGTTTCATATTCCAGAGCAAATAGCAAAAAAACACAAGATCTGAGCTGTTTGAAGTGAGAACTATATATTAGACATTACAAGTATCATTAGAAACCTGCAGTACTGACTCAGGAGTTAGTGCCGGCGGTGTTTCGAAGGGGGAGCAGTTTATCAGTAAGAACACCAGAGTACAGGAAGAAAAGTCTTTAGCTAGTCATTACTATTTATATACTGTACTGTGTTTCGTAAGGTGCTGCAGAGTGGTAAAGTCTCAGCGTAGATTTCCAGCCAAAATGTTTTTTTTTCTGTTTATTTGGATTGCATTGGAAAGGACAAACATCTGTCAGGTTTTTACTGACCTTACTTCCTGTCCTGCTGTCCTTGCAGGAAGTGAGGGGATGTCTTTCTAGTAGAGACACAGACAAAAATGGATATAGGTTTTAACCCTTTACCACTCTATTAAATGAGTTATAAAGTCCCAGCATTTTCCATCCTGTTATGATATCAGCATTGTAATAGGAATACATACTAGAATTGTTTTGGGTAATGCAATCAAAGCCTACTTGAAAAAATCTCTTTTATGTAGTGAGTGCTGCCTTCCATCTGCCCATCACTTTCATCAACAACATGCAACCAGCAGCAATGAGCTGAAGTCACCGCTGTCAGCATACAATAGTCTTGCAGGAGGAATCCATGCTAAACATTAGTAGTTTTTTCTCATTTAGACAATGGGGATGAACAACCAAAACCAAAAGTGTATGGCCAGCTTTAGCTTCACTTCCCATTCCATTGACCACAGTTATGGAGACACAGGAGTAAAGAGACAGGAATAAAAACTTGATAGGATTGCCAACAAATCGCTACCCTATCCAAAACAATCAGTGTTTGGCTGAAACTCTGCTTTAAAAGAACTCTAATGTTATTCAACTCTGAGCAATACGGGATTTACTTCATTATTGTACCAGTGAATTCTGAAATTCTTTGCCTTAAAGTCAGCCTTAAAGTGTATATCCACTTGCAGTCAAGTTTGAGATGTGTGTTATGCGTTCCTTTTCACACAACATACCATTTTTTTTAAATTAATATTATTATTATTTGTTACCATTTAGATGTTTTGTTGCAGGAGACAACATGGCTGATTTCAGGGTTTTCTCAGCACCCGACAGCGATTTGTCCTCATAGGAAGACTTAGAACTGGCATTTGTGGATTGCTATGTGAATGAGAACATGTAACAAATATAAAATACGTGTTATCCCAATTTGGCTGCGAAAGTGGAAATACACTTTACATTTTTGCTTGCTCATTTAAAAGTGTTTCTTATTACTGGTTTATTTGCAACTGAATGGTTTAATAAGGCCGAATTGTTGTATCTCTCCATGTGTAAATTATACTTTTTTCAATAAACGGCTTTTGAATATTATATTATTATTTGTAATGTAGCAGTAATTTATTGATCAGTATATGTTGTAAAGTGTAGTGTTTACACGGCCTTTTTTAATAATAGGACATTTGCATAAGGACTTCCCTACCAAAGCAGCTTAGTGATTCTAGAGTACCGATATTTTTTTCCGACACTCGCCGATACTGAGTGCCGATACCGGTGGCTCGATTATCAGGAAGTCGGGCGGCGGATCATGACCCGTTGCCTGGCTTCCCAGCCAACGTTTCAGGGCCGCACGGCGTCCCTTCATCAGGGCCAAAATGTGACCATTTTCGCCCTGATTAAATGTGACCGTCACATTTTGGCCCTGATGAAGGAACCCTGTGCGGCCCCCGAAATGTTGGCTCTTTGCATTGCGACGATCTGTCCGAATAAATGGACATTTGTTATTGGAACGACATTACTGAGTGCTGGTGATTCCTGTTTCTTGCTGTTTGTTTGCACAGCGCCATCCATGATCATCACTGCAAGCACCATCATTGCACAGGCCGGGAGCGCTGCGGGGAGTGCAGAGGGACCCTCCATTTGTCTAAGTAGAATCGTATCTGGCACACTCCTGACCCCTGCACTCTGTAGATAACACATTCTTAACCCCTGCACTCTGTACAATCCACACTCCTAACCCTTGCACTCTGTCCATTACACACTCATAACCCCTGCACTCTGTATGTTACATACTCCTGACCCCTGCACTCTGTATGTTACATACTCCTGACCCATGCACTATGTAGATAAACCTTGTATGATATTTGGGGGGGTGGGGGGGAAATTACTCTCCAGACAGTAAAAAATTGTGAAGGAAAGTATTTGCCAAGTTTTTCTCTAAAACGACAAAGTTGGGCTAAGTTTATATTTTTTGCAGTGGCATTTATATTATATTATATTATTCTCCCTATCTTAATTACCTTCCTTACTTTTGAATGGGGCCTTGCTAGCCTATCTCTTTAAAAAAGAAACGTGCTGTGCCCCAGTGACCTTTGATCTCTTCCATGTTGTTCAGATAGATCTGCACCTCTCCAGGATGGTTTGCCCCTATACTGTCCAGGTGGGAAAGATTTATTCTCTTCTTGCACAGGGAGTTAAATGGAAATCTGATCAATAAATTATCATTTTTATAAAAAAGTAAATATGTCTTGTGTGTGCCTGGGTAGTTTTACTAGTAATTGCATAAGGTAATATAGCTGTCTTTCCATTAAAAATATATCTCCCTGTCATCCTCATTATTACTGGTTCTACGGCAATATATCAGTTTCATTGTTTATTCCTAGTTTATCAGCACATGTTGCCTCATGGAAACGGGTCACCTTGGCATTAGCAATTCACCTTGTCAAGGAGCTCAAAATACCGGAATACAGGGAGCCGACAGCATAATTTTCAACCTTTTCAGATTGCTCAATATGTCAACAATGGCGGAATTATTTTTTATAGAGGGTAATGCAAACTGTCACTAACATTTTTTATGTGGAATGCATGCTATTTGTATGTGGTTCAGAAGATGGTTATATTATTAGTTATACTAACAATAAATGGGTATAGTTCTGTTTCCAATTGCCTCATGAGCTTGTCATTTTTCCTAAATATGGTTGCAAACTAAAAATATTTTACACATTCTAAAAGCTAAGCGCCCCAAAGTCTCCATAAAATTCTGAAGAGAGAGGAGTGCATGCTTGTATAAAATCATTTATGCCCCCAAAAAGAGTTAGATGATTGGTTGGTTGAAAACAATAAAAAATGAAATTGGTAACGTTATGCTGTAAAGTAGGACAATAGCTGCAGTAAAATACAACCAGACAACCTTATTTTTATATATATATATATA